TGGAAGCCAAAATTTTTCCCCCCTCTTGGGGTCAATTTTGCTGAGCTAGAATCATCTGAGGCAACTTTAACTTTAGGTATGTTATATGACATCTTTCAAAGTATAATTAGGCTGTGTGGTTTGAGATCTGGCTACTCGATTAAAGGTATGTGTCAACAAAGGGCTGTACTTCTAAAAATATTGAGACATAAACAAACTTGATTAGACAGGGAAGGAAAATTCTACAAGTTGAATACCCTATATCCCAACCAGAGAATGCTTTTTCTCTTTTCCTGGTTCACTAAAAGCACACTTGCCCAGACTATTCATATTTTCAAAATATGTTTGTTGCTCTCAGGGCTTCTGGAATACATACCCTCCAGCTATTAGTTTTGGACTTCCAAAATGTAATTTTTTTGCACACCTTTGCTTCAGGTGCTTTTTTATTTGGGGACAGGAGGAGGAGTTTGTAAAAAAAAAAAAATAAGCAATAAATCATTTTACTTTCTCCATCAAATAATTCCACTGATAATATCCTTTTTATGTAACTCATATGCAATCTATTTGATTGCATATTTACAGACTCTCAAAACATCTCCCCAAAACATATTAATCACAAAGACAAGTAATAAATTGACAGTGGGGACATCTCATAGAAGAGGTGAACCAAGACACTAAGAGTATTACCAATAAGACAAATCAACTGAGGACACAGTAGCACTTCTGCAAGACTGTAGATTAAATGTATCACTGTTCAATTTCTGATTTGGGTAATTTGTGCTGTGGTTCCATAAGAGAATGCCCTTTTACTTAGGAAGTAAACACTGTAGAGAGATAAAGGGGAACATAGTGTCCAACTTATTCTTACACACTTCAGGAAAAACAATTAGAATATATGGAAAGAGTAAATGCCAAAGTCTACGATGCCTAATATTAAGAACTGGTGAATCTAGGTGAAGCATATACAAAGAGTTCTTCATACTGGTCTAGCAAATTTTCTACAGGTTTGAAATTATGTCTACAAATTTATTATACAAAGATATTATGAACAATATATAAACACACAACTCAAAAATAAATTTATAGCCCAGTGCATCAACCTAAAATCCAGCCTATTTTCTTAAAGTATTTTTCACTAAGACACCATCAGAGACAGGGTCTGTAGATCCATTAATCTATCTTTCTAGTAACTTATTTTTTCACTTGAATAAACATTTGCGGCTTCCTTCAACCTAATGCAGTTTGTTTAAAAACTCAAAGAACAAATTCCATGACCCCAAGTGAGGTTCAAGGCTGTTAATGTTCTCCTGTACTACCTAGCAATCAGGGATACTTTCTGGAAAACTAGAGAACTTTTGTGGATGTAAACTTTCTCTAATATACCTACTTCCTTGTTTTCTTAAAAAAATCCAATTTACATCTCTAGGATTCCAAATATACAAGCTCTTGTTTCTGTCACATCAAATGAACTGTTATTCTTTAGCTTCTTGTAAAAAAAATTCAATAAATCTTTGCTCACTGCCAGCTTTTCTCTCTCTCCCAACAGCTCTTTGATCAAGATTTTCCATCCACTCTGGAATAATCCAGAGGTAATTAGAACTTCTTACCTGCTTTAGCCCAAAAGGAGACAATTTATCACAAACTGTCAGGGATTCCAATTTTAAATTACCAAGAGCCCAATTACCAACAGAGGCAAGGAATCTTCTTTCTAATTAAAGTGATTGATTTCTTAGCAGACTCAGTAGTATTTCACTTTTTAATTATGCTCATTCCAATCAAATGTAAGAAAATTCTCATTTTATTTTCCTTCCGAAGAACATAATACAACAAACATTTATCATGAGTGATCCAAGGCCAGGCCCAGCAATGCCTTTGGCAGAACTGGACATCTAATCTATCAGTGGGTCTTGTCCATTTTTACGAGCCTTGGTGGCCGCTGCTTCAGCTCCAAAGTAGGGTAGAGGAATAATTATGTTTTTTCATATAGTTCACCCAGGAGCACACCAAACCTTCCAGCATCAACTATGTTGTGACAAAATGGCAATGGGTACTTCAATAAACAGTCTAGCAGGGGCATGGGGAGTTACAGACAGAACCCAGCCTCATTTCTTATGCACAGAACTGGGGTTCTGAAAACAAAGCAGTGTGTGGAGGTAAACCTCAGAAACAGGGGAACCAATTTGTTTTTTCTCACTGGGATGGCATTAGAACAATTATGTGTTATAAAGAATTTTGAAAGGGAAAAATACAACTTCAGATTCAGTTCAATGTAATACAAGGAATCCAAGGAACACAAGGCAGCCCCTTGCACAGCCTCTGAAAGCCCCAAGGACACATTTGTCTACCTGGCTTTTAATCTTGAATGACAGAGCAGCCGGTTCTCTCCTAAGGCCTGCTTACCAGCTGTCTGCATCCTTATCTCCCCTTCCTCCTCTTTCCACATAGTCAGCAGACTGGCATCAGCTCATTCCTTGAGACAAGGGTCGAGTGTTACACTCTGATGACTAATTTCCAGCAATCTGTATTCAAAACTTACTCCTGTGGCCAGATAAGTGGATACCCTTTGTCTATAGGAAGCTACTCACCATTTTCCAAAAGCTTGCATATTTAGGTAGTTCTAGGGAACCGCTAAGATTTTAAATTTCCACATTCAACCATGGAACCATATTCGACCATTCTAGTAAAAAATTAAATTGTATACTAAACCTTTGATATTTTAGGAAAAAAGGGCTGGGGATGGAGCTCAGTGGTGGAGCACTTGCCTAGATGTGTGAGGCCCTAGGTTTTATCCCCAGTACTACAAAAAAAGAGAAGGAAAAAAATGAAATTTAAGAAAAAAAAATTGACATGTTTGAGATTGTCTCTCTCTCTGCCTTTACTACTCTAGGCAGGAAGACCTCCCTTAGGACCTTCAATTCATTCAGCAGACAATTATCCAGCACCTCCCAAGGGCAAGGCAGGCTGTCAGGGGCAGGAGAATCTCGACTCCTTCTCCACCGCTTTACAGGGAAGAAGACAAGTGGCCACCTCAGTAGAGTGAAGAACAGAGCTGGAGATGCTCTGATGGGACAGAAGGGTCACCATGGTGAAAACAAAGGAAAAAAAAAACACTTTCAGTAAAGACATGAATGAGGTTGAGGCTGCAGACACCTTGAAGGAAGGCTGGCTTACTGAGGGCAGGAACCCCAGGCTCCCTTGGTGGCGTCACAGCATGGCAAATCAAATGCCCCCATTCTAAGAACCATGAACATAGGAGACAAGGGGTCAGGCCAGATGTGATGAAGCTGTGACTGCCAGGCTAAGAGGCCTGGGTTCTTTATGAATGAACAAGGAGAACAAGGGGAAGTCACAGTCCAACTGGCTGTGGTGGGAGAGGACAGGGCAGGGCTGACACAACAGAGCTGGCCCTGACAGCAGGATGGAAAGAAGCAGACTGAGCAACGCAGTGCTGGCAGAGATAACAGGGATTTGAGGAAGGAGGCACAGTGGACGCCAAGCACCACTACTGTAGGTGGACACTTAGTCAGATTCCATGGACTGGCTGGCTTTTACTAAAAGGTTTACTAGGATTATCATTCACATCAAGCACTTGCTTTAAACTCTTCAATATTCCTGAGATAAGAAGCAGTTATTTCACCCCTCCTTTTAGAGATGAGAACCAAGCCCAGGAGTCTGAGACCTGACCAGAAAACTCAACTAATAGTGCAGAGACAGAACAAGAAGTCAGTGGAGTGCTCATTACACAATCAAACATGACAGAAACAGAGCTCAAAACCGTCCCACTGGCATGTTTCTGGGGTAAGAGGGACAGAGTTCATAGAACTTTACCCGGTGAGCTGGGTCAGAAGGTGGTTTGCTGATAATGTCCGTTCTAAAAGCAAATGGAAAACTTCCATACTGCACTCGATTTTTAAAACACAATTGCACAGGATTCAAGTCTTACACCTTAGATTAAATTACACTATCACATGCTATTTTTAGACTCTAGTTTTCTCATCAAAACATCTTTTTTTTTAAAAAAGAGACAGTGAGAGAGAGGGAGAGAGAGAGAGAGAGAATATTTTAATATTTATTTATTTTTTTAGTTTTTGGCGAACACAACATCTTTGTTTGTATTTGGTGCTGAGGATCGAACCCAGGGCCGCACGCATGCCAGGCGAGCGCGCTACCGCTTGAGCCACATCCCCAGCCCCAAAACGTCTTAAAATAGAAACATTTGTCTAAAAGTCAGGTAGAAGAGTCATTCACAAGGCTTTATTACATCTCAGGATTTTAATGTTCTTCACATTCAACATAAAATACTGACAACAGATACACAACAGGGGAAAAGACTCCAGCAAAGATCTTCTGGGAGTCACAGTATTGCTCTGGTCACACAATACAAAGAAAACCACCAAGTGTACACAGGATAAGGGAATCTAATAGATTTTCAGGTTAATGGCATAAATGAAAAACATAACACAACCATTTCTTCCCCCTATTGAAAGGAAGAGTCAAAGCAAATTGTGAAACTTCTAGATTCTTTCCATGGAGCAGGTTCAAAGGGGAAAGGGCTGAAGAGGGGGTACAACTGATCCTAATACAATGCTGTAGTACACAAGGTCAGGGATTTAACAAACTCTAAGCTTCTATATATCACTGAGAACCGTTTCATTAGAAATATAAATGCACTGAGATATAAATGAAGTGGTATTAAAAACAGACCCTACTATATGAACATTTATATAGTAAGTCACTTATCTCTTCAAGAGAATAACAGTATAAAGACCTACAGTTTGCCCTTTTGCCTGGCCCTCCACATGCTCACCAAATGATCAATATTAACCTTAACCCATTATGTTCCATGATCCCATTTAGGGAATACCTAAAAAACTTAAATTGAGCAACAAATGTACCACCTTTGATAACTTTGAAATAAATATTTATGTTTTTCGAGTTCTATTTTGTTGAGAAAAGTAATAGGTGAATGATTAGTGATAATATTAATATTATTGATTAATGATTATCATTATATGTTTAATGATAATAAACTATATAATAAGCTTTAGGTTATGATTTCCAACCTAATTTATGCACCTGTGTCAATTTCATTGAAATATTTTCAGAGTTGAAAACTTGGGATTTAATGGGTTAATCAAAGCTGCAGACCCCACTACTCCCAGATTCTGTACCCAGAGGACCCCCACACACCCTCCATAACTAATTGCAACTGGCATAATTAAGTCCAAGCAAGTTCAAATACTGAGGTCTAGCTAGAAAAAGTAGCAGCAAAGACAAAATAGGCTGGAATTCATTAGAAAAGCAAGAGGAAGATTTTTAAAAATACTTCCAGTTTGAGTCAGAATTGAAGTGACCAGTAGCTGGTGGTTGCATCAACTGGGCAGAGCTGTGGATGTCTTGCTATTGTTCTTTGAAAATGGAATCTATAATAAGCATGTTTATCTGAAGAAACTTAACCTGTCTGTCAAGTTTTTGTAGCCATTCCCAATTACTTTACACTCTGTATACATTATACAAAGGCAGAGAATAGGTCTCTTTCATAGCTGATGCATCTCCAAAAAATTTTTCATGAAGGTGGCCAAGGTTTCAACATCTTCAGTGGTGACAGCATTATACAGAGAGACCCGAATGCCTCCCACAGACCTAGAATGACCAAAACAGATTCAATCATTAAGAATCAGAGTATCAGCTGGGTGCAATGGTGCACTCCTGTAATCAGCATCTCAGGAGGCTGAGGGAGAAGGAACACGAGTTCAAAGCCAGCCTCAGTAACTTTGCAAAGCCCTGTCTCAAAAAAATAAAAAGGGATGGGGATGTGGCTCAGTGATAAAGCACACTTGGGTACCAAAAAAAAAAAAAAAAGAAGAAGAAGAAAAAGAAGAAGAAGTAGAGGCTGGGGGTTTCAATGGCAGAAAACTTGCCCAGCAAGAAAGAAGCCCTGAATTCTATCCAACACACACACACACACACACACACACACACACACACACACGCATCTAATTCAGTATCAACACAACTCTGCCTAATCATCACTCCTAAGAGCTACAGCACTGGAGGCCAACAGTGCCCAACCTCCCACCTGAAAACCCCCAACAGGTGGCATTGAGCTTCCATGTCTGAGTCATTAGAAAAAAAAAAATCTCCCTTATGCAGTGAAAGTGCTGCTCACACCTGGACTAATTCAAACTATTCACTCTTGATAAATACAAAAACTACACAAGGGGGAGAAAAGATCCATCGATGAAGATGGTGACCGTGGGGCTCGGCACCAGGCCATTCATGATCCTGCTGCAACAGCCAGACAGGGATGTGCAGCTCGCTGCTGCTGGTGTCGTGTGTGAGGACATTTATTTTTTATGGAGTATGTAAAATTAATCCTCTGGTGTTCAGCTGGAGACGCAGCAATGTTCTAACAGTAGAAAGAGTGGTGCCAGCCTCATCAGACAGGACGGCTGTAAAAGCAGTTAAGAGATTTTCAAAGGTAATTTTTAACAAAACCTCATAGAAGCTGTGACTCCACTGGAGCCAGGGAACTGTGCCCTGGGAAGTAATACAACTGAGACAACTGTTTCCCCCAAGTTTACAAAACTGCTCCTCCAAGCTGAGCAGGCTCCCAGATGTGTTTTGTTTTGCCTTTGAAAAACAAAACCAAGCCAGGCTTATGGCCCATGCCTGTAATCCCAGTGACTTGGGAAGGTGAGGCAGCAGGACAACAAATTTGAAATCAGCCTCAGGAACTCAGTGCGGCCCTAAACAATTTAGGGAGACCCTATCTCAAAAATAAAAAATAAAAACAGCCGGGATATGACTCAGCGGTAAAGAAATACCCCTGGGTCAAATCCCTAGTCCAAAAAAAAAAGAAAGAAAGAAAAAGAAAAAAAAAAAAATCTCTGAAGCATCTGGTTTGGAGGTGTACTCACCTATGGCCTTTCAAGGAAATCATATTGAGTTCAAGTGCTTTATCGAGAAATCTTTTCTCTAAATCATTATCTCCTTTGGCGTTCCCAATGCGGAATGGAATATTCATCTTGCTTCTATTTTGGGGCTCCACTGGGCATCTGAAAAAACACATTTCATATTCCAACGACTTTTCTGAAATGCACAGGCTATCATTAAGAAACTTACAAGTTTTTAAAAACCATTTTCTAGATGCAAGCAGACGATTAAAACAAAACCAAAAATCTGTCCCAGGACATTTATAATTTACCTAGACAGACCAGACTCTTGTAAGATTTGTATTTAATTTCTGTAAGCCTCAGTTTCCTTGGCTGAATATTGGGAATAATACCTCTACTGCAAATTAGTTGCAATGATCCAAAGATTCAACAGGTAGGAAGGATCCAACACAAGGGTGCCATATAGCAAGTGTTTAGGACCCTTTCTCTGTTCAGATGCAGAGGTATATTTGTCCTAACAGTGTTTGGAAGGCTTGAAAGTAATGAAGAGCAGTTTTTAAAGGGTTTGTCACCCTGTATTGTTCTAAGCTGTGTGACCTCAACCAAGTTACCTCCCTCCTGTTCCTCACTTTCCTCCCAGAACAGTGAGAATACTATCAGAACTTTTCCTCAAGAGTTGATATATTAAATAAACCGAGTATTAACAGAGAATTTTGAGGGCACAATTAAAAATTTTTAAAAAGATTTGGGTGCAGTGGCGCACACCTGTAATTCCAGCAACTCCACAGCCTGAAACAGGAGGATTGTAACTTCAAGGCCAACCTCAGCAACTGTGAGTCCCTAAGAAACTTAGCAAAATAAGAAATAAAAAGGGCCAGAGATGTAGTTCAGTGGTAAATTTGGTGCCCTGGGATTCAATCCTCAATACAAAAAAAGAAAAAATGTTTTTGTTTTGTTTTAACAAGGCAAGGTCAAGTTCTCTACCTTTTGATTCTGGCCTGGCCTTGTGAGTTGGTTTGGCCAAGGGACTGCAAAATAAATAATTCTACCTCACACCAGCTTCTCTTCTCTCCATCTTCAACATCACTGCCACTTACACAAGTCTGAGCTAGCAGAATGGAGGTAAGTATCCCAGCCAACAGCCAGCACCAAGTGCCAGACATGTGAAACCACGTTAAACCATCTGGCAGCAGCTCAATCACCGGATGCCTTCAGTTTTGAGGGCTCCTGGGACCAGCAGAAGCACCCAGCTGAGCTCGGCCCAACCTGCTGACCCAAAGAATAATGAGCACGGAAAAGGGTTAAGTCAGGAGGTTCTGGAGTGTTCTGTGACACAGAGATAGGCCACTGATATACCTGGTGCAATTTAAAGCAGCATCCAGAACATATCAATGCTATATAAGTATCTGTTAAATGCAATAAAATTATCCTTTTACTCCCAGCATCCTGCCTAAGGCACACAGAGACTCTCAAAAATGAATGAGGAATTTTTGTCTGGGAAAGATTAGTATCTGACTTCAGTATCTGATTTGGAAGATAAGCAGCCAAAATTATTCTCCACTGACAACCAGAAGAGACAAATGGAAGATGAGTTGAACTGTAACTCCAGAATGAAAGAAAGGCAGAACATATGGCCCTCTCTCCCTTTTCTTAAGTACATCCTATTTTATTCTTATACTTCTGTAGGCAGGATTCACTAAAATTAAACAGCAATTAAATGCAGTGGGAGAAGCCCCCTTCTGGCACAACCACGATCCCTATTACAATTAATGGGAGTCAAGTACACACCACCAGGAAGAGAGGCAAGAAGGGGAACCAAGCAACTGCAGCAGACTCGGCTCAATTCCAAGCCCCCCTTCCAGAAGGCAGCAAGTTTCATAGCTGACATTTAAATTAAATATTCAGTGGCTACCCTCTTTTGATATTCTGTGCCTCAGGCTCCCAATATGAGGCTCCAATCAGAGAGGTGAACCAATAAAAGAGCACAGTTAAGATAAAAAATTACAAGAAATTAAGGATCTGTAATTAGAGTTCACCTCCCCAGCTTACCCATCCTATCATGAAAGTAGGAGATATCACAAAGCAATAATGTCATAAAAGATAGAAATTAAAGTTGAAGTCGCCATGCAACAAACATTTACACAGCACTCGTGACCATGTCACTGAAACAAGTGTGAGGGAGAAGGAAAAGATCAAGGGGAGTTAACTGATCCCAAACTAGGGAGAGATGCTCTGCAGGGAATTAACAGCTCCATTCAAGAAGGACCAAGAGCCATAGCCTGTGGATTCAGAGCACAGCAAGTAATTCTGCTGAGAAGGCCGACAGGTTTCAGAGGGGCTGTGGGAGATGCCAAGACAGGGAGAGGAAGAGGGAGGGCATTACAGCAGCTCCAAGGCACAGAGGCAGCGGGCAAGTTCTCCAGCTTACTTGGGGTGTGGGGTTCCTGGACAAGGTGGCAGGGGAGAGCTGCAGGGCCTGGCCCATGGAGGGCCCTGTGGAGTCACTCTGCTGGGAATTAGACCAGGTCCTTGAGCAATGAACAAGAAGTTTGCACAACAGATCTGAGTTTGAGAAAAAAAAGAACTGGCAGAGACTGAGGGTGAAGAAAACGGAGAGACTGAGAGACCTTCTGGAAAGCGCTTACCAAGAACTTTCTAGGTCAAAAGAAACAGGGCCTGTCCCAAGCCCAGCCCTGGGGAGCCTCAAGCCATCGTAATTTAGGGAATGCTGCATTAAGTGGCCTGACCAGGCTTTTTACTGACTTCCTGGGCCTCCTGTGGCATGAATCCCCAGGGGGAGGTCATGAAGGGACAGTTTCTCCCAAACACATCTCCTGAAAAACCCTTCCCACAGAGGGGATTAGCATTCCAGAGAGCCCCCGCACCCCCCAAAACACCCCAAGTACTCCCCAGGGTATTGGAGGAGGGGTACGTGTGAGGAAGGGGCAGCTTCAACAAGAGGTGCTTGTCTCACAGACGTGGTGAGGGTCAGGGGTACCAGAATGTCAGGTCAGTGGACAAGGGGTTGACCCACTTATTTCAGTCTGTCCCCTCCAAAAGATGTGTCAGAAACGAACACGTAAACAATAGAGAGTACAAGACATGAGAGAAAAGCCCAAAAAATAGTCATAGATCTCCATGGTTTAAAACCTTACAGTCTCCACTTACACAAATCAGAGCTATCTGCCTCACACCACACTAGTAAATTCTAATTAGTCAGAGAGGTCTGAGATGGATGTTCACACAGGAATACACGACCAGTGTAGCTCCACATCATGTCCAACCACAAGAATGGGAAGTTATACTCCATGCATGTRGGATATGTCAAAATATACTCTACTGTCATGAACATCTAAAAAGGAAAGAAAATTTTTTAAATATATTTTTTAAAAAAAGGTTTAAGATGGATGTAATCGTGCATGCCTGTAATCTCAGCAACTCAGGAGGCTGAGATAAGAGGGTGGTTTAATTAATTTTAAAAAATCAATTTTAAAACTATATGTGAATAAATAAATTTTTAAAAACTACTTTATGTGATTACAAAAATCTGAGTAAAATTATGAAGATCTACCATCCCTTCCCAGAGGTGGCTATCAACAATAAGCTGGTATGTGCTCCTCCGAGCATTTTTAGATATATGAACATGAACACGTGTCAAAATAGGTATGTATGTATGCATATGTGTACATGTATATACTTATGTAACATCTGCATAAACAAATGTGGGTTTCATAAACAGACTATCAGCCACATTCTTTTCTACACTTTTCTCCTTTTGGCCCGTTGACATACACAGTCATCTTCCAGTGTCTGCTCAGACACCCTCACTCCCAGTGTACACATTATTCTTACTGTCTTAGTCAGCTTTTTTGCTGCTGTGACCAAAATATCTGACAAGATCAATTTTAGAGGAGGAAAAGTTCATTTGGCACTCATAGTTTCAGAGGTCTCAGTCCACAGACTGACTCCATTGCTCCAGGCCCAAGGTGAGGCAGAACATCAAGACGGAAGAGGGGGGCACAGGAAAGTAGCTCGGGACATGATAGGAAGCAGAGAGACTCTGCTCACCAGGAACAAAATGTATTTCCCAAAGGCAGCCCTGGTGACACCTGGTGACACCCTGCCTGCCCTGGTGACATCCTTCAGCTACACCCTGCCTGCCTACAGTGACCGCTCAGGCAATGCCTATCTGGGATTAATGCACTGATTAGGTTAAGGCTCTGACAACTCAATCATTTCACCTCTAAACTGTCTCACACATGAGCTTTTGGGGGACACTTCCTATCTAAACCTTAACACTTACTATGCATGGATCCTACTAAACTTCCTCGAATCCCCACTGACAGGCATGGTGGCGGCGCTCTGCAGATTTTTCACCATCCCATCCTATTGTGGACCCACAGCGGCTCAATTCTGTGCAAACGGCTGCATCCAACAGGATTCCAGAGTAGGGTGGCTGCTAGACATAATATCTCTGGCAAGTTTGCTTTGAATTTTGATGGATATTCCAAACTTTGCCCCAGATTTATTCAGATGAATACTTCCATCCAACTGGGGTCCTTTGCCAGCACCAAGGGTTATCAATTACTTTTTAATTTCTACCAATCAAAGGTAAAAAAAAATACACTTCATGATTTTAATCTGCACTTCCTAAAGAACTAATGAACTTGGGCATTTTTTGGTGTGTGTTAGCCAGCTGTTTTTTTTCTGGATTGTTTAAACCAGAAGCAACACCCTTTGCCCTAATTTGTACTTGGTCATCCTTTTCAGTCATTTGTGGGTTCTTGCCTATATTAAGGATGGCAACCTTTCTGTTATATAGTGCAAAACTTTTCTCATGTTTGACATTTGTTTTTGTTCACTAGGTAAAATTTTAAGATTTTTGTGAAATTAAATGTCAGTTTTTACTTTATTGCTTTTGAGATTAAGAGTTTGTTCTTAGTTAAGGCCTCTGTATTCCTAAACTTAAAAAAGACTCACCAACATTTTTTTTCTTGGTATTAGAGACTGAACCTAGGAGGAACCTAGGGGCACTTCACCCCTGAGCTCCATCCCCATGTCCTTTCATTTTTTAATCTTGAGACAGGGTCTCACCAAGTTGCTGAGGCTGGCCTCAAACTTGTGATCCTCCTGCCTCAGTCTCCTAAATCACTGGGATTACAGGTGTGCATAATTGCAACCAGCTTAGAACTTTCTGACTCATTAGATTTATTTTTGAGTATGGCATGATGCAAATAATGCTAATTTGTTTAAATTAAAATTTGTCATGGCTTCAAACAGCATGTTATGAATATTTTTCAGCTAATTTAACATGCAGTTGATTCCCAAGTAAGCATGGGCATTTATGAGCTTCTTTTTTGTGGGGAGGATGGGGTTCTGGGGATTGAACTCAGGGGCACTCTACAACTGAGCTACATCCCCAGCCCTATTTTGTATCGTATTTAGAGACAGGGTCTCACTGAGATGCTTAGCACCTCACTTTTTGCTGAGCTGGCTTTGAACTCCCAATCCTCCTGTCTCAGCCTCCCGAGCCACAGGGATTACAGGCATGCACTACTGTGCCCAGCCATTTATGAACTTCTTTAACTCACCTATTGTCTATCCCTGTGCCAGTGCCCCTGTGTAAATTAACAAGGCTTTATATAACTATAATAGATAATGTGCTAAGTTCATCCTGTACCATTTTCTATTTTTAAAGTTTTTAAGCCATCCTTTTGGTTTAACTTGAACAGGTGGACATTTGGATTGATTGCTAAATATTTTATTTATTTATTTATTTATTTATTGGTACCAGGATTGGACCCAGGAGTGCTTAAACAATAAGCTATATCCAGAGCCCTTTTTATTATTTTTTATTTTGAGACAGAGTCTCACTAAGTTGCTTAGGGCCTCACTTAAATTGTGAAAGCTGGCGTTGAACTTGCAATGCTCCTGCCCCAGCCTCCTGAGCAGATGGGATTACAGGCATGCACCACCACACCTGGTGATATTTTATAATTCTGAGTCTGTTAGGAATTCCATCTTTATTGCATGTTTGTGGAGAATGGAATCACAACTGAGCTCTAAGTGATCACACTTCTGCAACTGATCATTCCTAAGGTTTTCTGCTGGTTCTTGCACTTTTAATATAGAAAGTCACACCATCTGCCATCTGTGATTTTTTTTTTTCATTTCTTAGGTGTAGTAATTAAAGAGCCACACAGGCCCTGGTGACATAGTGCCCACCCACCTCACGTTCGTACCCAGGCTGATCCCACTTCCCAGCTGTGACTTATCCTGTCTGTGCCTCTGTCAGACATGCTTCCTGTCTATTTCACAGGGCAGCAATGGCAATAAAGTGTGTAAAAAGCCTATGTATAAAGTGCCTGGTACTCCACCTGCTTCATTTTAATTTAGTCTTCACTAGATCTATCACCTGCTTCCTTCTCTTTCCTAAGAAGGCAACCAAGGTGACCTCACATCTGGATAAGGAATCTGCCTCTTGAATATCCTTATGATGAGAGAGTTAATATCTAATGTATGTTAAGCACTGTGTGTCAGGAACATCCAAAGTGCTTTACACATTAACAACCACAAATAGTAATATGAAGAGCCAACTCATGAGGAGGAATACTCACAAGGTGCCACTGTTTCCAGTGCTTTACGCAAATTAACCAGCACAAGAGCCCATCCTCTTAACCTACTTATTATATACTCTATATCACAGGCATTGCCATTTAATCCTCATGACAATCATAAGACACATGTGCCATTATTATACCCACTGCACAGATGAGGAAACTGAGGCTTACAACAATCAAGTCATCTGCCCAAGGTCACGTGCCAATAGTGGCAATATGGGGCTTCGAGGCCCAAGACACTATACTATGCTGCCACTTGGACTCAACTCCAGGTCACCAGTGTCATGGGAGTGGTTAGGCTGTGGAATGAACTTGGGGACTTCAAGGGTTGTCTCATCTAGTCCAAGAACTCCCCGTTGGGTCACTGGTAGGTTGTTGCAGTCCCCCGTAAGCCACTCAGAGAGGCTTAGGAAAGGGGCTGCCTTACAAGTTAGGGAGCATGAAGAGAGAGGAGGTTCATGACAAAGATAAAAACAAGAAGCAAAGACAATAGCAAATTGCAAATCATGATCCCTCTCTCAGTATTCCAGGCCAACTTTTGTGTGTGTGTGTGGGTACCAGGGATTAGCGACTTAGTGAGGCCCTAAGCACTGCTATCTCCACCTCCAGGACACTTCACCACTGAGCCACACCCCAAGCCCTATTTTGTATTTTATTTAGAGACAGGGTCTCACTGATTTGCTCAGTGCCTCACTTTTGCTGAGGCTGGCTTTGAACTCTCAATCCTCCTGCCCCAGCCTCCCAAGTTGCTGGGATAACAGGCATGCACCACCTTGCCCAGCTTCAGGGCCATCTTGCCAAACTATTTCCATAGTTCAAAAGAAGAGTGAAGAGTTTCCTGAGAGCTCAGTGGCACAGAGTAACAGCTAGAGAGTCTCCCGCTTTTAGTAAACAGAGGAGACAGAGCTAGCACCTGCTCTGGACTCCTCAGGAAATGTCACTCTGAGATGACATTCTTTAGGCAGGTGGTTGATAGGGTGACATTTTTATGTGTGTACTCCTCCTAAGAAATAGTGAAGCTACAGCTAAGAGACTGATCTCCACTACATAATAATCACCAAATGTTTCCATTCATTCAGGTTCTGAGCACTTTGGGGGAGTCAGGGATGATGATTTCTTCTTCTGGGTATCTCAGGAGCCTAGAGCAAGGCTAGCCCAGGGTACTCAGGAGCCATCTGCAGGATGGATGGTGAGGTGGACAGATGAACAGGAAGATGGCCGGGTGAATGAGTGACTAGCTAGATGGCTGAGTAAATAGGTGCACAGGAAGGTAGATAGATGGGTCAACAGCGGAGTGAAGAAATGGACCAAAAACATCTCAGACCTCTCCATGACTTCCATTCAATCCCAGCATAAGCCATTGCCACCAGGAGGCCCACTGTCTGCTCCCCAATACACTGTGCTTCCTCCCTCAATGCCTTTGTGGGATCGTCCCTGCCTTCTAAGTCCCTACAAGTACTCCCATCCATTTCTCTGCCTAATTCTACTCATGCCAAGGCTCCAGCTCATCCAAAAGCTCTCCCGTCCCCTCCAACCCAACAATATCACCCAGTTCCAAGTTCATGCCACATCCCTTAGCTCTTGGCCCTGAACTCCTTGGACCATTTCCTGCTAATCATGCAGAGTTCCTATAAGCACTGCTACCCCCACCTCCACACAGAGTATAGGATGGAAGCTTCCCCAAGACCAAGCTCTGTTGCACAGAACCACAGATTAGACAGGAAGGTGCAGGGTGCATCTCTTCCCCCATTCTGGCACATGGAGCAGAACCCAGAGGCCCAGATATCCAGCCAAGCCCAATTCCCCCAGGGCTTATGGCTAGAAGCCACTAGATGCCAAGAACTCACAGATGTAGGTGACAGGCATTTCAGGGGAAAGGTGGCAGCACTATGCTGCTCTCACCCTGGCTGTCCAGAGTCCACTCCACCCCTCAACCATGGATGGTACAGAGAGTCATGACAAGTCGTGGCTGAAACACACATTCCAAGTTAGAACTGAAGCATTATATTTTCTATCCCATGTGACCCATGTAATAAAGAGAGTACAAATTTCCCCATTACTGCAGGGGCATACATATATTATTGTTATAACAGTAAAACTCAAAGATAATGAGCACTAAAAATGAGGGTCCTAAGCTATGTGTAGCAGCAAAAGCCTGAAGTCCCAGCTACTTAGGATGCTGAGACATGAAGATCACTTGAGCCCAGAAGTTCAAAGCCAGCCTGGGCAATAGTGAGATGTCATGTGGAAAAAAAATTTAAAAAATCAAGGGTCCTAGTTTGACAACTGAGTGTCAACATAAACACACACTTACACACTGCACATGCCACACTAAATGGTAATGATGCTGGGACACTCTCTGGATTCCATGCTCCTCAGCACTAGGTGCCTCACATCTGCATTTTGGTGAGAAGCCTGCTGTGGTAGGTTGGATGGTGACCCCATGTCCAGGTCCTACCCCTAGAATCTGTGAATCTTGAACTATTTGGAAAAAGAGTCTTTGCAGGCATAAATAGAAGGATCTGGAGATGAGATCATCCTGAGCTACCCAGAGTGGGAGTGCTAAATCCAATGACCAGTTCTTATCAGAGAGAGAAGAGGACCCAAGCAGAAAGGAGAAGGGCATGTGAAGACAGAGGTGGAGACTGGGATGAGGCAGCCCCTCCTGGTGCCACTAGAGGCTGAAAGAGGCAAGAAATGGATTCTCCCCTGGAGTCTGTGGAGGAAGCAAAGCTCTAACGACATCCTGACTTCAAATGTCTGGCCTCCACAATGGAATTTCTATTATTTTAAGCTACCAGTATATGGCACTTTGTTATGGCTGTCCTAAGAAACTCATACAAGACCCGTCCATTCTCTGTAGCCCTCACAGGTGCTGGCAATGGTCAAGACATGTTCATCCATCACTTTGTCAGGAAAATATTAACTAGGAGTACACCTGTGCCACAACCAATTCTACTCCCTACAGGCCTGGGATGGGAGCATCTCTCCTATAGTAACGGAGGCAGCCAGGCGTGGGCAATTATACCAGGGGACTCCAACAGGAGGACTCAAATAAAGCTGAAAGCTTCCAGCAAGTGACACACAAGGAAGGAGGGAGTAGAAGGGACTTATCCCAGGGGACACACCGAGATTCTTCCCCAGGGCAATATCTTTGGAGTGAGAAAAGCCATTACCCACTGGAACCTGGATCCCAAAACCTGGGTTTCAGCAGTGGGGTGCAGCAGGGAAGAACTCAACCTTCCTGCTCACAGGTGCACACATACTCACCAGTATGTCACTGTCTTAGGGAAAGGTGATTATGGCTGCTTTTCAAAGGTATACAGTTTTTAATTTAGAAGAGGCAAAACGTGGGATAAAACACCATTGACTTACACATAGAATCCTTGAGAATTATCAATTATCTCATAGATCTTCTGAGATTTGAGGGAGCTGAGCTTCTCCATAGCTGCTGTCCCACCATTGTTCTTAATCCACTCCAGGACCAAGCCCATAACATAAATGCTAAAATGAAAATTAAACACAAAAAGCCATTAATGCAAATTGTTACCTTTCAAATAAATTGGTACCTTGCATTAAGACAATCTTAAAAACATTATTAGAAACAGAAAAAGATAGCTGGGCACAGCAGTGCATGTCTATAATCTCAGCTTCTAGAGAGGCTAAGGCAGGAGGATCACAAATTTGAGACCAGCCTAGGTACCTTTTGTGAGTCCCTGTCTCAAAAAATAAAAAGGGCTGGCTCCATAGTAGAGTGCCCTTGGATTTAATTCTCAATACTGAAAAAATAAAATTAAGGAAAGAGACAAGATAAATGCAGACCACATGTAAACAAGAGGATGTCATGAGGCAAGGAAGGGTCAATACAATTCTAAATCTCTAAGGGCCGTTCGATGGATGTCACATCAGTCCCTTTCTGTCCAGCCCAGCTCTAATGCAAACTCTCATGACACCTAGAACATACTTCCCACAACAAATCATCAGAGTCCAGCTCCCCAACTTCTTCCAGGGTTAACTCTTCACTTCCTAAACTCTGATCCCAGATGCCCTTGCCCATAATACCTGTGTAGCTTACCACTCAGTCCTTATTTTATACTTCTGTGTGTCTGGGTTTTGGGCTATGCTTGAAAGGCTGGAAGTTCACATTGTTCACCTTTTCTACCTCATAGACCCAGCTCAAAGCCTTCCACCTAGCAGATGTGGTATGGCACAATGATTAAGGCCATGGCTCCCAGTTACAGTCTAGACCTCAATCCCAGTCCTGCTGTCTACACACATACTACATAGCCTCCTTGGGAATCTAAGCCTAGGCTTTCCGACCCAACATGCAAATTCCCAACAAGTCTTGCTCCCCTAGTCTCAAAGTTGGGCATGGAATCTATACAGACCAATTAGAAACTACCCTGGGGTGTGGGAACATAGCTCAGTAGTACAGCACTTGCCTAGCATGTGTGAGGTTCAATCCCCAGCAATGTAAAAAATAAATAAATGAATAAGTAAGTAAATAGTAGGAACTTCCCTGGGATTTTCTCTCACCCAGGAGTGAGAAGAAAGGCAAAATCATGGGTTGGTGATACTGTAAGGCATAAGGTAAGAGCCCTAGGGGATCTCACTTCTAGGAAACATTTGAAAGAAGTTCAGCTGAAAAAAAAATGAAGCCAACATTCCAGCTGAGAAGCAAGAAATGGAGAGCAAACCAGGCACCTATGATCCCAGGGACTCAGAAGGCTGACACAGGAGGAGAGGAAGTTCAAGGCCAGCCTCAGCAACTTAGTGAGTCCCAGTCTCAAAATAGAAACATAAAAAGGGCTGGAGGTATGGCTCAGTGGCAAAGCACTCATGGGTTCAATCCCCAATACCACAAAAAAGAAAATAAAAGAAATGGAGAGCACATGGTATAGTGTTGATGATCTGTGTTCCTGGTTCTGAGGGGCCTGGCTGCACCCCAGTCCCTCCGACAATTTGCTTGGGCCCAACCCTTTCTGAACTAAGCATTTTAACTCCCTATCCCCTGCAAGACCTGCATTTAGCACAGAACCTGGCACAGGCAGATGGGCCACCCAAATGGCAGCTAGTGGTGTCTTTGTTGTTAGGTGCCCAAGACTAAGCCAAAAATACACAGAATTGAAGACTAGTGGATGGTTCTGCCCAGCAGTCTTCCGAATGTCCCATCTTTAAAAAGGAACTGTGTCCTTCCATGTGTCCTTCACTGACTACAGGTCACTAGCAAGACACCACCCTCCTTGAGTTGGGAGTTTGGAGGAGGTCAGCTCTCAGCTATGCTGTCTCCAGAAGGGGCAGGACAAAGGTCCTCTGAGAATTAGGCAAAAATTTGATGGAAGTCAATGCTCAGCAAAAACGGGGTGGCACTGCCTGAGCCCAGCTGCCCCCTTATTTACTGACCCCTTCAGTCTACCAACACCAGGACAGGTGCTCACAGGAGAGCCCAGGTCTGGAAGATGTTCCAACAGCCAAAGGCTTAAGACAGGAAGTTCCTGATACTGACTAGCTCTCAGACTCTCAACTGGGTGGGCCAAAAACTCAAGTTATATTAGTTTTTCATCACAGTGACATAAGTTCCTGAGAAGAACAACTTGGAAGAAGGAAGATTTATTTTAGCTCGTAGTTTCAGAAGTTTTAGTCCATGGTCAGCTGGACTTGCTTTGGGCCCAAGGTGAGGCAGAATATCTTGGCAAAGGGTGTCAGCCAGGAAGCAGAGGGAGTAAGAAAAAGAGGAAGAGGGGAGAAAGACCCAGGGAGAAGATACAGTCCCCAAGGGCACACCCCCAGTGACCTACTTGCTCCAACCATGCCACACCTGCCTACAGTTCCCATCACTTCCCACTAGTCTCTTCAGCTAGCAATGGATTAATCCACTGAGGAGGCCAGAGCCACCATTATACCATTTTTACAGATGAGAAAAGTGAGACTGAGAGTTCTCCAGAATACCACACCACTATTAAAAAGAAAAAAAAGAAGGTAGGCATTTGAGCTACCATGGGAGAGTGCCCATGGCATATTGCTGGGTGGGGGAAAGGAATTCACTTAAGTCTGAATGCATTTGAACAATTACATATATGGCTCAGTATACAATCAGCCCTCCATATCTGTGAGTTCATCATCATGGATTCAACCAACCCTAGACAGAAAATATTTAGAAAAAAAATATTGTGTCTGGGTGCTAGGGTTGGAGCTCAGTTGGTAGAGCATTTGCCTTGCATGTGTGAGGCACTGGATTCGATTCTCAGCATCACATAGAAACAGGTGAATAAAACAAAGGTATTGTGCCTGTATACAACTAAGAAAAAAAAAGAGTGGATGTTTTAAAAAAAAATTATGTCTGCACTGAACATGTACAAACCTTTTTTCTTATCATTATTTTCTGTACAACACAGTATTACAACTATTTACATAGCATTTGCATCGGACTGGGTATTCAAGTAATCCAGAGATTATTTAAAGTATGCAGGAGGATGTGCACTGGCTATATGCAAATATTACACCATTTTAGATAAGGGACAGGAACATCTGAGAATTTTGGTATCCATGGAACCAATCCCTGATGGACACTGAGGGAAGACTGGATTTGCATATGCCCAGTTAAGAATCTATCAAGATACACGACAAGCAGTTAAAGTGGTTACCCTGGTGACTTGCTCACTTGGAAGTCTTTGCTAGGAGTATGTGTTACTTTCACAAATTTCTTAAAGGAATACAACCTACTGCCATGTGCCAGGGCTTTGAACAGCATTCCCCAGAAAGTCCTGTGGGAAACTCCCGTGGGAAACTCCCTAAGGTTCTGATTCTGCAGAGAAGCTTCTGGTTGAGGACGTTGTAGCTCAATTTTCTCCAGAACTAATGAAAGCAACCAGAGAGCAGAGCACTTTTCCCAGAGCTGGTTTCACTACTAATCCGCCCCCCTGTGGATTCTAGGACTCCAGGTTTCTTGCATGTCACCCAGGGTAAGGGAACCTGGGGCGAGCTAAGCCCTCTGGACAGACCTACAGACTTCATCTCTACCTCCCATTCTGGTAAGAAAGGTGACCTGAGTTCATCATTTCTTCACTTCATATTTTTATTGAAATAAAAATGATTGAATTAAAAATGCATTACTTGCCCTCATTCTGAAACTTGGAGGTTTAGTAGTTATGATAAGTAAAAAATGTTTTGTGGAGTTAGAAGGGACATTTAGGCATCTTTTCCTCTGCCCGCTAATTGAGTTTAAAGTGTTCTACCAAGGGGTTAAAGAGAATGACACTGTGGCCCTTTATTCCACCCCAGTTCATTGCTCAGGGTTACAGAGAGCTATTTGTAGCCCAGTTTATCTAGCACAGTTAAAACAAAGTTCTCAGGGCCCGTGGTATTTCAGCTCTGACAAACACAAATAAAACAAACAAAATAAATCCATGGCACATTTTCAAACCTGGAGCCTTATCTACCTATGTGTAGGAAGTATGCTAGGTGCCTTACCGGCCTCCTAGTCAAAGACTGGGGAGAGTACCTGGCACAAATCTCTCTGTCCATGTGGAAAAGATTTTCCCTGGGGACTTCCTCTCCTTCAACGCTGAAGCACTGCAAATGAACTCCAAGTATTTCAACCCACAGACTCATGGTTATTCCTCAATCTTGCAGAATTGTACAGAACTTTTCTCCTCTTGTCTTCTTTTAAGGTATAACAAAGCAAAGCAACCTCCAGGGGGAATATTGGAGTCAAAATTCATTAAGCCATACCAACTTGCCTTAAGACATTTTCAATTATCACTATTTTATCTGTTTGTAAAAGAAATTTTGCCCCTTTCAGCCCTGGGAAAAGAATCCTGCCTCTCCCTAAGTGGTGTTCCTAGCCCCAGTGCACCAGCTGAGGGGTTCAAGGTCAGTCAAGGCCCAAACAGGGGCTGGTAGGGGTTCACTCTTCCAGGAGGACTTTCTGTATCTCCAGCCATTTTCATCTCCCGCTAGCATCTCACTGTTCTCACTAAGCCATTTTCACCCTAACAGCAAAAAAATGTGTTCAATTTTTTTAAATATGCTTCAAGGTAGCTCTTAGAAAAGGTGCCTAAGGGAGCAACTGTTCACCCTGTCCCTCCAGGCTGTGCTTTGAACAGAACTTACTGGCCTTGATGCACATTTCAGGGACAGTACTCATTCCCTGTGCCTCCCACCTCCTTGCTTCAAAAGGCAGTGGTGGCTTTGGCCTCCCCCTGAAAGACTAACCTAACTTCGAGGCAGGTACCCCAGCTCCACCTCCAGGTACCCTTCTAAGTAAGGATGACCACCTTCTCTCTCCTGCCCCACAGAGCCTGACAAAGCCCCTCTCTAGGATCCCTGCCCTTGAAGTCTCCCACTGGACCTGTAACACTGAGCCTGCCCAGTGTGCTCCCTGGCCAGCCAGTGACCAGGGGTGCTACCTCCCTGCCTAGAGCCCCAGTGGTAAACCAAGGGAGTAGGAGGCAGAATTCAGTCCGCCCTGACACACTCGCACTTCAGCAATATTTTCAGCCAAGGTACAAGAAAGTGGAGTTTAGAGATGACCAGGAGAATCAGCCCTAGAACATCCCTGAGGAAAATGGGGGACACACAATGAGGATCTGCTCTGTACCTGGATTTCTGCAGAAATTTCCACTGGAGTTCTAATTCCAAAAAAAAAAAAAAAAAAAAAAAAAAAAAACTCCTTTCTTTCTTATAGTAGACTATATGGGAGACATTCTCCACAGGCAGCACCTAGGGGAGGAGAGAGCTTTAACAAAATCCTGACCCAGATGGAACTACCCACCCCTTTAAGTTTAAGAGAACTTTGGCCCCTCATGGAAAAATCCTATAGAATGGAAGAACTGGTCTCATTCTCCTAAGACAGAATCCTTTAAAAAACAAATCCACTCTGGTCATTTTGCAAAGTACCAAAATACAGGGTGGAAGGCACCCAGGCTGCCTGGGCTCAAATCCCAACACTGCCATTTCTTAGAATGTGACCTCAGCTTCCTCCCTTGCAAAATGAAAACAGTAATAGTGTCCACCTCCTATGCGATTGGGAGGATTAATGGGGTTCCACACATAAAAGTACCACTGTTTTACATCATAGTTGCCTGGAAAGATAARTTAATAAACTCTGGCACTTCCCTTTTGTCACATTGCCCCTGCTGAGGCTCCGGGAACTAACAACAGAAATAAAGCAGCTTGGCCAGGCATGATGGTGCATGCCTGTAATCCCAGAGACTTGGGAGGCTGGGGCAGGAGGATCACGAGTTCAAAACCAGCTTCAGCAACAGCGAAGCACTAAGCAACTCAGTGAGACCTGTCTCTAAACAAAATACAAAAAAGGGCTGGGGATATGGCCCAGTCAGTGGTTAAGCAACCCTGGGTTTAATCCCCAGTACCAAAAAAAAAAAGAAAGAATGCAGCTGACATATATAAGTCACCAAGTACCAGGTACTTACTAAGATAGATAGATAGATATATCACATAATCCTCACAGTAACCCATTGAGGATGATACGGTTATTACTCCCAATATCAGACAGGTAGGGACTTCCTAAGGCCATACAGTTAGTAAGTAGCAGAATTTCCCAACCAGGGGTGAAATACTAGGCATCATGAAGGTTTTCACAAAAATCTGGAAGTGAAAAGACTCTAAAGCAGGGCAACCTTTCTCTCCCTGAGATACTGCAATGCAGGTTCCTACAACTGAAGAGAAGCCAGCTACAGTTCATAAAAGGACAACAGTTCAAGCCAGTGCGGCCTGAAGTACCAAGATCAAAAACATGGCCCAAAAATTTAAAAATGTTTTTACAAAGGGCAACAAGAAAAACTGCTCAGTAGAAGGTCAAGGGGGAGACGTGAACAAAGAATCCTGGTAAAATATTTGGGGCTATTAGGTCATGGCTCATAGGAGCACACTGTAGTTTAAAAACTCATCCCCTCTTTAATAGGAAATAGTAAGAACTCCTCGTGGGGTCCACAGCGACACAACCCAAAGTTACCTGAAACATGGAGGYGTGTTGTACAACGAGTTGTTTGCGGCCTGCACTTTGTACTCCAGGAAGGAGGGGCACTCTCTGAGGGCAAACCCCAGCAGGTCATCCCGGACGATCACCACTGTGACCCCAGCAGAGCCAACGTTCTTCTGGGCCCCAGCAAAAATCACACCAAACTTAAAAACAGAAAGGTAGGCTGCTTTAGAAGCATTTGTGGTCATTTTCTATCAATATATGCAAACTTCCCAACTTCTTTCCAAAGCATGTTTCTTTGAGGAAGTGACTCCACTCCTGTTTAGAGAGCATCCCCTGGTCTGTAGGAATCACCAGGCCCAAGGCCTGGATCTCACCTGAAAGGGGCTACCGAAGTCCAGCATTGTAAAGGCCATGTCCATATTCACATTCACATTCACATTCACAGCACACCTCCATTCCACATCCAAACAGCCTTTAATCCTGGGCCTCTGGGCTGGAGATGTAGCTCAGAGGAACAATGCATGCTTGGCATGCACAAGGTCCTGGGTTCAATCCCCAAGCACCACAAAAAAAATAAAATAAAGTCTCTAAATATTCTTGGCAACCAAGAGAAGAAACACAATTTTTTTTTATCCCAAAAATTTATCTGTACAATGTTTAATTTTTTTTAACAATTTCAAATGGTAAAACTCTAAAATTTTTTAAATTTTCATATTTTTAAATTTTTTTAAAAACATCCAAAAGTCCTGCACTGTCCTTTGCAGACTTTGTCCCCCTGGTTTCATGCACCTGGTGCAGGAGTGGCCCACTTGCAAGCAAATGTCAGTCTTCTCAATGACATCTGCCCTGGCTTCAAGGACTAGAATCCCCCTAAAGAAACCACTCTTCTTATACTGTACCTTGGAAACATCCACTGGCTTGGATAAGAAGTTTGAGGACATGTCACAAACCAGTACTGCTCCCTTGACATCAGGTATAAAATTAAACTCCACACCATGCACGGTCTCGTTTGCACAGAAATACACATAGGAGGCATCTGGGTTGAGGTTCCAGGTGCTTGGATCTGGAATTTCTATCACAGAAGACAAGTTTGAGACTTTGCACTTTTACCCTCCTTTCTAATATAGATTGGTGTTGACCAGGAGACTGACACTTCTCCCCCTTTAGTAAAAAGCTGATCCCAAAGCATTTCACAAGTGAAAGCACCCTGCCAACTTGGTGAGACCCAGTCTTAAATTTAAAGGGCTATAGATATGACTCAGAGGTAAAGCACCCCTGAGTTAAATCCCCAGAACCAAAAGAAAAGAAAAGAAAAAAAAAAAAAAAAAACCACGGTGGATCTCTAAATAATTTTTTCTTGTCACCCAGAATCCATCTATCCTGTGTCCACTAAGAGTTCAGGAGTTTCTTCCTGAGACCCTGGCCCTCACCAGGTTTTCAGCAAATGTGGTTTCAGAACAGCTGATACAATTTACAGCTCAAGAGCTCGAATGTGACTCAAATACAGCCACAGGGACTTGTTTAGACTGGGCACGAGACATGAGACTGTCACTGAAAATTCCCTAGCGTATGAAACTTAGGGAGAATATAAGTAAGGTCAGAAGCAGCTATAATCATTGTCCCAGAAAGAGGGGACAGCTTTTCCTGGCTGTGGAGGAAATCACAGAGAAAACAAGGAGACATCAGGGCCCAAAGGCATTGTTAGAACCCCTGATCAAGCCATACCTAAAGCCAAACTGCTGTTGGACTTTTCACCTACATGAGCCTATCAGTACTCTGTTTTGCGGAAGCTACTTAGTAGTCTTCTATTAATATAACCACCCAACCTAAATGGTATCAAACTAAATGCTGACAAGGGGAAGAAAGCATTAAAATCAACTGCATATCACCCTAGGCAGGGGTAAGCCACCAATCTGCACATTACTATCCAGCCCAGCTCCCAGAACTTACTTGTATAGCTCCCAAGTTTAGGATGGACAATGTTCACAGTCCCAAACTTCCTGGCTTCCTCTGCTGCCTTTGCTGACCAAGATCCAGTCACCACATAGTCGGCACACTTTCCAGGTTTTAGGCCAATCAGGTTTAAGGGGACAGCACTGAACTGGCCACACCCACCTCCTTGCAAAAAAATCACCTTGTAGTTTTCTGGAACTGCCCTGGACAGAAACACAAGTAACCGCACATAAACAGACTCACAAGGTCAAAGATGGAGAATGAGTGATACTCTACCAAGTGCTTTGTCTTGGGTGGCTTTTCTATAAGTAATACAGTAAAGTCCCACTATCACTTTGTCTTGCCAATTTAGTCATTTACCCATTTGTTCATAGGACAACGATTTATTGGGACTATTGTGGAAGCCTACAGCCTACTATCTGAACAGAGGCATCTTCTCCTTTTCCTAGTAACATACCCTGTTATTCTCAGGGAATCATCCCTCCCCTGAGCTGGCCAATGGTATTCAATTCTTAGATTTTTGCTTGAACTTTCTTTTGAGGGAAAGAATAAATTTGTGGGAGCTAATCCTAAAACCACTAGTGGCCATCTGGCAAAGCTAACACATATGAAAGCAGAGGCAGGAGAAGGAGAAGATCTTCCTGGCATCAACTGAGCTCCTAAATCCACTGTACTTCTCTAAGGGGGTAAATATTGCATTTTTTGCTAAAGCCAGTGAGGTAGGTTCCCGTCACTTGTGACTGGAACTCCTGAAACTTTCTATGTCAGATAGCATGCTATGAATCAGGAAGACCCTGGGGAGGGATTTTTGATTACCACTTAGACCAAGTCATGTAATCACAAACCCGATGTAGATCAAGATTAAGAACAAAAATTTTTGACTCCAGGATGGAAAATTAAGATGATAATTCTAATGGCTGCAGGCAGCAGAATACCACCAGCTTCAGGGATCCATGGCCGGGGAAGCTGGACCCAAGCCTTAGAGCAGTCAGAGCTTAGAATAAGGGGTACAAAAGGCAAGTGGCCAGGGAACAGGGCTCTAGCATACATATAAATAATAAAGAACAGGGCAACTGAGTAGGGTCTTGGGGGAAAGGTGGTGTGCAATATCTTGTTCTGAACTCTGCCTGGCCTACATTCTGTAGCCAGTAAAATAGCAAAGCAGCCACGMATATCTTAGGAGACTCTACCAGTTATTCAGATGCAAGGAAACCAGGCAGAAGTCCAAGTACAGGGGGATAGACAGGAGCTTGGTTAGGAGGTTAGGTCCATAATTAAATAGTGGTTCTAGTCAGAAGAGGCCTACAGCCATCTGGTCAATGCCAATGTCCCAGGCTAAAGTTCCAAATATTCCTTCCTTCATCATTCCATGAATGTCACAGGGGACCCAATGGGCAGTCGTGGGCAAGATGGGCCAAGCAGATGATCACCAGATCCGAACACTCTCAGTGCAATGGGCCTCCACTATTCCTCACAAAATTACCTCCAAGCCTGCCCATCTAATCAGCTTCTCAAAGCACTTTAAAAAGCAAATTTATGGCCGGGCAGTGATATACTCCCAGCAACTCCGAAGGCTGAAGCAGAAAGATCACAAGTTCAAGGCCAGCTTCAGCAACTTAATAAGGCTCTAAGAAATTTAATGAGTACTTGTCTCAAAATAAAAACTCAAAGGGGCTGGGAATGTAGCTCAGTGGTAAAAATACCCCTGGCTTCAATCCCTAGTACCAAAAGATTTAAAAAAAAAAAAAGTTTTGAAATAATCAGGACAATTTAATAAAATGATGATGTCAGAACAGAACAGACCTTCAATGTTGATTATCTCTGACTGGTGGGATTATAGATAATTTCAGTTTAATTTATAAGTTGCAGTCTATTTCTGAACTTTCTATCATAAATGTGCATTATATTTGTAAGCAGGAAAAAAAAAAAAAAAACGTGGTTTTAGGGCTAGGGATAGAGCTTTAGTAGTAGAACACATTCCCCACCAAGCAAAAAAAAAAAAAAAAGCCATATGTATATGCAACTGTATCTACATATTTAAAACCTTTCTTTCTCTCCTTTAAATATTATCAAGGCAGAGCAGTAGCTGGAGTTAAGAACTCTTAAATTTCCCCAAATCCTCTTACAAATAGTTTCTCCAGACATTCTGACTCAGCAAATCCAGGTGAGCCTTGAACTGTTTAACATCAACCCGTAACCAGGTAATTAATTGACAGATAGCAGAAAGCTTCCACTTTAAGAATTCCTGAACTAGATTATAGTTATTTATGCTGAAAAAGGTGACCATTTCTTTCTCATTTAAGGCCTTTTCAAGCCAATTTAACTGGCACAATGCTAAAAATCTTCCCAAGATATTTCACATCTTTGGAAATAACGTATAAAATAAAAATGACACACAGATGCAGGCTGGAAAACACATAAGAAACATTATGTACTAATAGTGAATCTGGGAGGGGATTAAAAAGCTTGTTTTTAATCGTAGAATATTATGAACAAACACAAAATATAGAAAATAATATAACAGACATCCAGGTTTATGAAATACTGAACAAAAGTAATTTGGCCTTTTTTAGACTTACAACAACTCCCGCACAAGATTCTCTGCATTGTTTATAATTTTGGCGAAATCTGATGACCTGTGACTCATTTCTGTGGAAGATAAACAACAAAAATGTCTACAAAATTGGCAAGAAAATAATAAAGAAAAATATCAGTTACTTTGCATTCAAATAGTGGGCCCATGCTCACTTAGTGTAGGGGATAATCCAAATTTATTTTCAAGTCGTGCACATTTTAGTCTTAAAGTCAAAGCAAAATGATTTTTCAAGTCACATGCAATGAACAAGCCACTTAAACTCATCATTAGGTTCTCATTAGACTGTGAATACCACATCTTTCTCACAAACAGGAATCCATGGGCAGTGGTTTCTTTTTAGGACAGAGCACAAAATTCCAGGCTGTGATTTCACTTGACAGAAATCTAAGTATATGTCTCAAACCCACAGGAACACAAATAAGTTAACACAAATAAGCAATACAGTTAACCCTATGGTCTCTTTTTTTTTTCTTTCTTTCTTCCTTTTTTTTTTTTTTCTTAGTTGTAGATGGACAGAATAGCTTTATTTTATTTTTTTGAGGTGCTGAGGATTGAGCCCAGGGCCTCACACATGCTAGGCAAGCATTCTACCACTGAGCCCCAGCCTCAGCCAACCCCCACTATGGTCTCTTCATACCATGTAGCCTTTGGAACTTTCAAAACAAAAAAATTAAATAAAAGAAAATTAATTTTAGAACTCAGAGGTCCTCTTGCCCAACACCACAGGGGAGAGAAACTGAACAATAAAATTACTAATGTGTAAGATCTTCATAGAAGGCTTGTGTACTTTTAAACTTTAGTAGATTTGTACTTGAAGTATAACAAAAATTCTAAATTGAATTAAAGAAATTATAAATGTTTGATGGTACTGTTATGCAAAAGTACAGGGTCTTCTGGTCACAGATTATGTTATTAGCAAAAAAAATCATGAAACAGAAAGCTGAGATGTCTAAGCCTCCCACCAGCATTTATGCCATCTTCAAAATTGTTCCTAGCAAACACAGTTATTAAAGTTTAAAAATGCATCTACAAAAGCCTATTGGGAAGACCTGTAGAAATTCTAGGCTGACTGCATTTAATAAATTAATTCCCTCTGAAACCAGGACCAGAATCCAAAAGCAAATCTTACCAAGAACACTAATGCCCACTCCTTTGTAGTCTAATAATTCTTTCTGAACCTCTAACAACACCTGGAAGAAAAAAAAAAAAGTGATTTCAATATGCTATACACAGCTTTCCCTCTGTATATATGAACCTGAAGAAGAGGGAGTCCACACACAAGCCTGTGAGATTCCCAGGCTTCTGTCCCAGGCAAACCTCCTCCTCCCCATTCCCACAGGAGCTTTTCTAATGCAACTTACACACAAGTTGAGCCTGAAATGAGGCAACAAAATAGATGCTAAGACATGCGTTCCCAAAGACATGAATTTACCAATTCCCTAGAAAATGTTCCCTCCACAACCTCATTTGCCACTCCCTAAAAGTTAAATGTACAGGATGCATAAAGTTCTAGGTCCAGGAAACAAACAAACAACAAAAAAAAAATCAATAGTCTCTAATTATAGAGATACAGTTAAATCAATTTTGCAGTCTTTTTTTTTTTTTTTTTTTAAGATTAGGACAGGTAAGGTGGGAAAAAGAAAAAAAAAAAAAAAAAAAGGAAGCACCTGCTATAAATTAAGATTCATCCCAAGCCCTGGGTTTGAAGGAGGTTGGGGGGTGTTATCTCAATGTGCTAAAACAAGATTAGCAAAATGCTGATAGATGGGTACCTGGGAGTTCACTACATTATTCTCTCTAAACCTGAGTGAATTGAGGATTTCCATAATAAAAAATACAGAGAAAATGAAAAGCTCTAAGAAATGAACACAAAGAACAAGAGACCCCTGTGGACTCCAAATGGGAGATTACTTCTTTAAAAGATGTTAGATAAGGAAGACATCATTAAAATACAAGCTGACCTGCAACTTGTCTAAAAAAATATTTTAATAAGAATTACACAAAGACTGCCTCAATGGTGAGGTTCAAGAAAGTGTTATTGTGTTTTGAATGGTTGAATGCTTACTAGCTAGCACTGGCTGATCAAATTACTGACTTGATCAGTACACAGAGTACACAGGTGATAAAATCTTACCCCATATATATGTACAGTTAACCAAAAAGAATAAAAACAAACTTATGTGAATCCTTTTGTTTAATAAAGAGAAACAAAATAATCCAGACTATTTTTTTTTATTTTTACTTTTTTTGGTGTTGAGGACTAAACCCAGGGCCTCATTTAACAAGTGTTAGGCAAGCCTTCTACCCCTGAGCTACACCACCATCCCCAGAAACATCTTTGAATTTGCTTTAAGACTTTAAATTTTTCTTCTAGACAGCATTCCTTGAAAAATACAACTATAAAAGTTTCTAAAATCATCACAACGAGTTTTTCAAAAGACTTCTAGCCAAACCCCCCACCCACCCACAAACACACCCCTATAATGCAGTGAGGTTTTTTCCAAACTGCAGAATGCAATAGTTTTTGTGGTTCACAACTAATTTATTTAAGGAAACAGAGCAAACTAGAGCAGAATAGAACACAAAAAGAGTGTATAGCACAAGTAGGATAAATATTATTTCCTAATATTTTTTAGATTATAATTATAATTATAATGCATGTACTTCATCATCTTGTAAAACATATTTTCCACAATGGTGACAGAGGTTGAAAACTTTTCTAATTTTTACAATTCAACTAAATCAAGAAGACACCCAAGCAGCAGCACCTGCCCCACCAGGTTACAGGGTAACAGAAGGAAAAAAAAAGTCCTCTCAGGAAAAATACTTAATAAGTAAGTGTATTATTTATGACAAATGCCACCATAATCAATTTCATAACAAATAACAGGGGGACAAAAATACTTGGAAGACTCTAAAACACAGCTGGGCATGAGGGGCACTACAGGAATTATTTCCATAGTTCTATCAGCGAAAATGAACAATGGTAACAGAAAAAAATGAGCCCTGGGGGCTGGAGATGCAGCTCAGAGGAAGAGCACATGCCTAGCACGTGCAGGACCAGGTTCAATCCCCAGTGCTGCAGGTGGGCTCTGTTCTCAGCTACTGTGAGCAGCCTCCCCGGAAGAGCAAGATCTTCTTTCCTCTCTCACATTGTAAGATTCCCTGTTCTTACCACCACACAGAGAAGGCTCTGTTCCAGGGACATTTCTAGTGTTCAACAATAGATAATTGTAAAATACTTGGCTACGCTCCCATGCTGCTGCACATTATCAGACTGGCGGCGGAAGCCTGTCAAAGGGTGCAAGGCACGTCAGAGACATTGCCTTCTTCGCAGCTGATGGAGCTGGGGGAGGGTGCTCGTGGGGAGGGTGGTGAGAAGGGAGGGGCCAGAGCCTGGCTGGGGGCTGGGAGGGCAAGAATTGAGTTCCACTTGCATTTGCTTCGTGTGGTTGTAGCCCAGGGGGGAAAAAAATCTAATCTACTTGCTCCAGAACAAAGTGAACAGACTGGACTAAAGCAGACCAATGCTACTAGAGTTTGAATCATTGAATGCCTAATTTAGAGGACAAGCAGGTTTTAAAAACACAACAGAGAGAAGAAAGAATGGGTCAGTTCTGTGGAGGACAGGAACCAGGGGGTTTTCAAATCTAATTTCTGACTATAGTATTCCCAGCGACGGCTGAACTAAATACGTTTGGGGGTGAGGGCAAGCGATCCCTCAGTTTGCAATCCCCTTCAGAAATCCTGAACCACTGCAGTATGCAAAATCTATCATCTGCTCATTCCCTTGTATCATTCACTCACAGTACCCAGTCATGCATTCCATGCACACTGCCAGGGATTGCAGCACAGCCGAGATAAGAACTTTTTCTTTTCTACCGCGCCGCATTTCCCGCCTGGTCCAGTTGGGTCGGGGAGAAGGCACGGCCACCGGATCTGCATGCAGGAGAGCTGCACCCGGCTGGCAGTCAGAGCCAAGAACAGCTGCAGAGACTTGTCCCAAAGAGCTTCCTCTGCCAAATCCATTCTTCTAGAATCCTTCTCACAAGAGCTCCTGAACCCCGCATGCATGCAGGTTGCAAAGAGGTTGGGGGACTCGCGTTGGAAGCCGGGATCTGGGCACCCGGAGCAGGGATGCAAACCCACCCAGGTGAGCGATCTAATTCGAGCCAACTCCCAAGCACGCCGCCGAGTCTTACCGAGTGCGGCAGTTTGGCGGGCCCGGGCCCGAAGTTGATTACTTGCTTCAGGGCGTCCATGGTGCAGCGACGAGAGCAGCTAGTCAGCTAAAGAGGACAGACCGCGTGGGACACCAGCGACTCTCAACAGCAGCCCTGCTAGTCTGCCGCGGACACCAAGCCCCTGCCTTCTTCCAGCGTCAAACCGGCGCCCCATTGGTCTGCTGTCGCAAGCCCTGCGCCGATTGGTTCTCATTAGAAAGCTTGCGTCCGCATTGGTCTCATTCACCAACCCTTTACGGTTATGATTGCTCCTCGCTTTCGGTGTTTCGTCCCCCTTTTGGATCAATGCAAGGCGCTCGGGAGATTGCACCAGCCGGCCGGCTTGGCTGAGCTGCCTTCTGAAGATGGTGGGCGGCGAGAAGAGGCTGGTCCTACCAAACTGTGTTCGCGCCTCTGAACCCTCCTTTGGTTCCAGTACCCCAACTCCGACCCAGCCTGTCTTTCTGGGCCGGATCCGGAGAAGGGATGCAAATCAGTCGCTCTTAATCCACCCATCTCTCTTCCACTAGCCTCTGGACTGGGCTGTGATAACTTTTTGTTCCAGAACCACAGCAGTCATTAATTCACCAAACTTTTCTAAGCACCCTCACGACTGCCAGACTCAGTCTGGCAAGACACCCTAGATGCAAAGTCCAGAATGGAGGGAAGTGCGGGGGTGGAGGATGAGTGGATAAGATTCTTTGTACCCGCACTTGGACCCCTAGTTCCTGCAAGATGAAAGGATGGAGGTATCCCAGGACTCTGGGTGGCTGCATGCCCCCAAGCAAATCCTTTAAAGTTACTGATTTTCCTTTCCCTTTTTGTGAAAGGACGAGCTGGAGGCTGGCGTTCTCTCTCGGGTTGCGCCAACTGTGAGTTCAGAAACGTGAGAAGATAACTAATAGGAATGTCATACACAGGGGAAGCCACAGACCAAGCCAGAGGAAGGAGGCACTGAGCCAAGCCGGCACAGAGCCAGAGCAACTCAAAGAGCCAGCGCAACTCAAATTTTTCCACATAGGTTCCCCTCTCGAAAGAACTCCAGTGGAGACTCACATGGAGATTTGAAACAGGGAGGCCCCCTTCTCTGCAGAAAGGAGTTCCTTTGAAGTCCAGACTTTCATCATTTAATGTGAATTTTACATCTACTTCATAATTTAACTTAGCTTCTTTTGCTACGAAAATATTTTCCCAAGGTCTTTGAGTGAAATTTGGAGTGGCATTTTTGTAATCCCATCTAATCACAGAAATGAAATTGGAGAAGGGAGGGGCAGAGTTGATTAAATGTGGTAGGATGTGCTATGATGACCATTAAAAATCATTAAATGATGTAGGAATATGCCACGTGAAATAAAAATAAAATAAAAACTGTTTTCCCATCACCTCATCTCTTTGCACACAGCCAAAATAACAATACCTCAACTTAAAAAAAAAAAATTTAAAATCCCACTTTCTTAGAGCCACAATTTCCGCTCTTTATTCTCCTAAACCAGAACATAAACAAATGCATTCAGATTTGGTCATTTAGCTTTCATTTGTAACTCAACACATTGTGCATTGCTACTACATGCTATGAAGACAGCAGGCATGGCACCTGCCCTTCTGAAGCTTCTGGTATTTAGAATAATTTTCCACTTTACAATTGTCATCCAATCAATGAGGCCTGCACAAATACCCTCTATTTTATTTTATTTTTTCATGTCTTTTTATTAGTGGACTTTAATTTATTCCAATAGTTTTAGATTTATAGTAAAATTGAGATGACATCACATAATTTCCATGTGCACCTCTCACTCAGCTTCCCCCACTATTAACATCACATGTTGGTATGCTACATTTATTATGATTAATGAACCTGTATGGGTGCATTAAGTCCATAGATTTCCTTAGTGTTTAACCTAATATCCTTATTCTGTCCTGGGGTCCACATCCTATTGACTTGCCATGTCTCCTTAGTCTCTGCATGACTGTGATGGTTTCTCATGGTTTTTTGGTTTTTGTTTGCTTGTTTGTTTGGGTTTTTGTTTTGTTTTGTTTTGTTTTGTCTCTCTTTGTACTGAAAGCTTCTTGTGTGTGAAGTAAGTCTCGTCATCCTCCACCCCCATATCCCATCACAATGCCTGACTGGACTTTCATGTAAAACATCTCAACACAAATACCCTCTTTAAACCACAACCTTCCTCTCCACAACTGCTAACTTCCTCTCCACCTGATTCCTGCTAACTTTTTCTTTTTTTTCCAAAGCATGAATCACCTCACATGCTATATCATTAGTCCATTTATTGCAAGCATTGCCTGTCTGGTAAAATGTAAGCTCTATGAGGGTTGCACTTTCTTCTTCTTGGTTTCCTGATATACCAAGAACAGTGCCTAGCCCAGGGTAAACTCATGATGGAGATTTCTTGAATGAAAGAATGAATATATAAATAATGGATCTATTTCGATAATCACCCTAAACTAAAAAGAGGCCTATCTTGAAGTTCAAGTCTTTACCTCTAGAGACAGGAAACTATTTGCCCTTATGGGTTAATGTTCCCCTTCCCCATTTGGCATAGTTTCAAGAAGGTCTTCTCTTTCCTCATTCTCATAGTCTATTCTACCTCAGAACTTCTCCCTCTTTTTCTTCCCTTGCCCCCCTCCCACTCTCTTTGCCACCTTACCTTCCCATTTCAACTCCAAATAGGAACCTCCATCAACTGGTAATTGGAACTCAGGGCTCTCAGTCTAGGCAGGTGAGGTGCCACTGAGCTACACTCCCAGCTCACAGTCAACTTTTCAAAACATGCATAAAGAGATCATGTAACTTCCCTGCTGAAAGCCCTCTAAAGGCTTCCCAACGCAGTGAGAACAACCACCAAACTTCTAATGGATCCACAAGACTATAACTGACCTGGTTCTTGGTTACCACTTGGCTCAGCCCTTAGCTGTCTCTCATAACTCAGCAGTCTCTGCAATAGTACTACCTATTTAGGGATCACCCCCTCACTAGGATGTAAATTCTCTGAAGAGCTGAGATTATGTTTGTATCTTCAGCATCAAGCATATTAGAAAGTTGACAGATACTTCTTGAGTAAACATGTAAGACAGAAGAAAGGAAATAAATGTTTTGTTTTGGCTTTAGGGTATTTTTGCAGTGCTGGGGATGAAATCCAGGGCCTTGCACATGCTAGGCAAGTGGACTACCAGTGTTCCACCTTCTCAGCCCTTTATTCTTCAGAATTTCCTATGGTGGACATTTAAAAATTAATAATCATGTTTTGTTTTGTTTGGGGGGTTGTTGTGGTTTTATGTGTTTGTTTCGCTACTGAGAATTGAACTCAGGGTGCTGCATTCCAGTCCTTTTTATTTATATGTTGATACAGGGCATCATTAAGATGTTGAGGGTCTTCTTGCTAAATTGCTCAGGTTGGTCTTGAACTTGCAATCCTTGTGCCTCAGCCTCCTAAATCTCTGCGATTACAGGCATGCACCACCATGTCCAACACATGCTTTTAAAAGTTGAATATTTTGAAAAAGTGGGGTGAGGATAGGCCTAACAACAACCAAAAAACCCTGAAGATCCGGGGGCACCCATTTGCAGCCTTTGAGAGCCTGTGGCTGCCAAGGCCCTTCTTCCTTTTTTCTGCCAAGGTTACATGCTTCATCAGGCACTAACATGCTGCCCTGCCACTAGAATTCTAGGTCAGTGCTTTTACTGACAAATGATGCTACATGTGGGAGATCACCAAAAACTTTGCTTCTATTCAACTTGCTTTAGTTCCAGTCACTCTTCTCTGGATTTGCACAACTATTCAAAGTTTACAGCAGACCTTGGCAAGGTGCAGACTGTGCAAGAGATGTGTTTTGTGAGGGAGAAGAGGTAGTTAGAGGAACAGGGTGTTGCGTACATTTGTTTCCCAAACTCACAGTGCTGGAAGGAATCTTGGAATATCATCTAGAATCATCTACCCACACATTCTGACAGCCAACCTCTCCCAGCATTGTCCTGAGGCAGTGAGGAGGGAAAATTACATTCCCTGTAAATCAGCACAAAGCTGTTCCCAGATGACAGGCCAAAGATTTGGAAAGAGGTTTACAGAACTGAGCAACAGAATGAAAAAAAAAATTTAATGCTATTTATATGAACTATGTACATCCCAGCATCCTTTGACTTGTATCATCCAAATGGAACTCTTTTTTTTTCTAAAAATTTTTTTGTAGTTGTAGATGGACAGAATGCATTTATTTTATTTATATATGGTACTAAGGATCAAACCCAGTGCCTCGCACATGCTAGGCAAGCACTCTGCCACTGAGCTACAGCCCCAGCCCCCAAATGGCACTGTTAAGTAACAAAATGACTCAGTGTCCCCAAGCTGTTCCCTCACGTCTCAAATCTCTGAATGGAAATAAATTTCCTTAGGGAGTTGAAGATAATTAATGAATCCTAATCAGATGTACTGACCATGTAGAATTCAGGAGACAAAAGAAACTGCATGAATTCTAAACTCTTCAGTTTACAGATCAAAGAAAATGTCCCAATAAATAGTAAAGGCAAAGATATCCACTCTTTCAAACAATACAGGATCATTTTCACTTATCAAAATATGAAGTATTTTCATTGTGTCTTGTGTGCATGCATGTGTGCATGTGTGTGTGTGTGTGTGTGTGTGTGTGTGTGTGTGTGTTGGATGTTGGGTTTTGGGAACTGAATTGTCAAATTCAGATCACAAATCCCAGGAGCAACTCCTTCACTTTTTGAAATGGCCCAAGGATATACCTGTGGAAGACTGTCCTTCCATCTGTGGCTTCATAGGTAAATCTTCTGTACCTTACTAGTAATACTTTTTTTTTTTTCATTTCATAGAAGGAAAAGGTAAAACCCAAATCAAGGATTTTCTTTTTTTTCTTTTTTTTTTTTTAAGCGGTGTTGTGGATCAAACCCAGGGCCTTACGCCTGCTAACTAAGTGCTCTACCACTGAGATACTTCCCCAGCCCCCAAATTGAGGATTTGTCCAGGATCACCAAGATTCTTGTCATTGAACCAAGGAAAGGACACCAAACTACTACATTTCCTTTCCAGAGAATATAATCCTCTGTGTTATGCACACTGCCCTATTT